ACCATCAATTATAGTGGGTTGAGGGGGTGTGGTATTTTTCCTAAAATCAATAACCAGTTCCTTCATTTTTGAAACATTTAACCTTAGGGAGAACTCATTGCACCAGTTAGTTAGTGAAATCATTTAGAATAGGCCCATGATGGCATTCTGTGTCCTTTAATATACTGACCAGGGCTGTGTCATCAGCAAACTTAATGAGATGTCTATCTGTGTGTTTGCTTATGCAATCATTAGTATACAAAATGTACAAGAGGTAACAAGACCTGTGGTGATCCAATTGATGTGTAGTGTACCTGTTTACAGATGTATAGATTTGCAAGCTATGGATACTTTCTTAATGTTAAAAATAGCCGTACTTACATTTTGACTAAAAGAAAATTAATATTAAAATATAGAATATCTCAAAATTAATAAATTGATATGTACATCTTTCCATTTAGTGTGATCCTTTCTCATGCTTGTCATTGCTGAGTTCTCCAACCTCAGATTCGTAGCTTGATATTTTAAGCAGCACACAACCCTCTGAGTGATCAACTGTTAACAGGAGGCGCAAAGAACTGGCTTTATGTGTGAAAACACCCAATTACTATGTTGATCCAAATGCTGAGAACATTGAAAATGTTACTTTCTTCAAACAGTCAGATTTTCTTGGCAGATACCAACAGGTCATGATAGAGACCCTGCGATCGCTTTCAGTAACCTCAAGTGTGTTTCGCAGATCCTGTACCTTTGAATTCCATATGTCTGAGCACTGTAATTCAATTATTTGTATTCCCAAATCCTCAACACACATCCATTGATAAAGTGAAAAATCCTTGTCACTGATATCACAGTTGTCTGGTCTAATCAGAAAAGAAAATATTGGATCAAAATGATAAAAATCCAGAAATCTGACACAAAATTCTGATACTTGTTCTCGCATGTACACTCCAAACACAGCAACATGGATTGTGCAATGTTCTGAAAGTTCTTGAAGATGTTGGAAATAGCAGAAAGTTGAGGTTAAGTGTCCAGAGAAAAAATGGCACTTTTTGCAAGAAATCCATGTTTTGAAAATACCCATTGAAGTTTGATCAGCCCCCTTCAATGTTCATCTCCTGAAGCACAGTTAGAAAACTGCTTGTACATCAAGGTAGATCAATCAACAAGACAATTTACTATTTTCACTGCTGTAGTCATTACATTATTAGGCTCATAATTCAAAATCTTGGCACAAAGATTTTTCTGATGAATAATACAATAAAAAGGTACAGTGGGGTGACCAATGATCCACAATAATCTTTACAAATCACTTCTGTTTTCTTACCATAGCAGGGGCACCATCAGTCATCATAGAATATGTTTTCTTGATGTCAATTCCTCTTTCCTCAAAATGATTAATAAACATCTTAGTTATATCTCTGCCTGTGCATACATGGGTTTAAGGTAGCACAGCTCTTCACAAATTCCATCTCAGTCACAGTATCCTGCACAAATTACTAATTGTGGCACCTTAATATCCACCTTTATATCCATACATTCACAAAAACAACACTAAATTATTGTATATCTTTTAATGCCAATGGCTGTTGTTAACATTTTCAGCCATTTCACTTATGAGTCTATCCACTGATCTAGCAGACGCAGGTAAGTTCTTAATTCCTGAGTTAATCTGTCTTTATTTGGCAAACCATTAAACAAACATCTGCATAACTAAAAAAGCCTCTTTTATATATCCTCTGGTTTTCTATAGTTTGCAGCATATTGAGTAATTTTGTACCTGGCTTTCGTGGCTAGATTTTTTACTTACACTTGTTTTCTGCTCTGGCCTTTATGATAGACTCATCCTTGAAGTGTCATGCTTTGTCTGAAAATGTCATTGGACACTTGATGTGAGACAATTCTCAGACAATATAGAGCACAAACAGCACAGCTTTTATGTTGAACAAATCCATATTCATCTCTCAAAAAGGACTGAAATGAGTGAACATCTAACTTTGCTTACTTAGCGACCACCATGTAGCGGCGAGGCTTATTAATAAGGCAGAATTAAGTGTTTCTGAGCTTTCCCAAATGAGGCCCCATTTCTCTGTTCATCTCTGTGGTGCAGCCACAGA